AGATATGAAATTTACAGGAGTATTAGATCATGATATTCTATTTGTTTTGAAGTTGTTTTCGTGCGTTTCCAGTACTTCCTGTCCGAACCGGAAGTGAATTTGTTTTTGGTCAATTTTTGATTTTTTTGTTTTTAGATATTTTTTCAAGATATTCTTAGGTAAAACAGACATTTTTCTACAAATACTAAATATATAATTTGTTTTTAAATCAGATTCCGCATTTTGTATATTTTCGGTACCGAAATTTTCTCTATGTACGTAGTATGTATAAGGTGGGCAAAGAAAGATAACTCTGACCTGTGAATGAGAATAGAACTTTCGAGATAAAGGCGGAAATAGTATTGATGACTTCAGAGGCATATACACTCTCCAGATCAACATATTTACACATTCAATATTTCATATGTTGCATGCTACTTAATTCAGTATATGTAAAGTTTTAATTGGCTGTGTAGTGTTAGTCTGTATATTGAAAGTTATTTATTCATAAATTTATATGTAAAAAAAAAATATATCCGTTCTGTATCAACTAAGGACTTTCAAGAAAATAATGTTGTACGCAGTACTATACATTACATTACAGCGATGTATATACAAATTATTCCGCAAAAATACTAAATATATTATTCATTAAATCGGATTCTTCATTTTGGAGATTTAAGGTACCGTCAATAAATTGATTTTCTCTATTTACGTTGTGACAATAAGCAAAGATAGATAACTCTGACATGTAAGTGGGAAAAGAACTTTCGAGAAAAAGGCGGAGGTAGTATTTATGACGTTGCAGACGTCTAGACCTACACCTTCCACATAAAAAAAAAATATTTAGACTTTGAGTTTCCATATCCACTTCTACATGTAAGATTTAAAAAATCTAGATCTGCTCCACCTTCTTACTTTGATTACGGCAACAGAAGACTAAATGTTCTTCAAACCAGACTATGACATAATTGTGCACTAAATGACGACCTTTATAGATGCAATTTAATATCAAGTCCCTTATGCACGTGCGGTAAAGTTGAGGACACATATCATTATTTTTCGTATGTCCCAAGTATGCGAACGCCAGAAATGAATTTTTACATAAATGTGTACAATTTGACAAAATCCACATACATGTCTTATTCACTGAAAATTTAAGTTAGTCACCATGACCTAAAAAAATAATCAGATTGATTGTCCTCCAGATGAGGGTGCAGTTAGTCAATTAGACAATATGTTAAGTTCATTTTGACGACTCGAGAAAAATCATACTGACTAACTCGATAGCCTACCTTGACTAATCAAAAGTCACAATGAGTACACTATAACGATTTTATTTGACTGTATTCTTGTCATAATGATAGATTCCGATATTCAAAGTGAGTATCATTTCATATCAAAATGACTGTCAATTAGTTATATTTCTAGGCATTTTGACGATATTGGAAATCATGATGACGATGCGCGTCAAATCATTTTGATTATCACGCATCAATGCCCTTCAGATACAAAATATAACAATTATACAACTAATATTTGAACTATTTATTACAAAATTTCATAAATATGGTTATTTCATGCACCAAATATACAAAAATGAATAAACTGATTTTCTAAAAAAACAACATAAGATTTGCATATAAACATTGTTAAAAAATTAAGAGATCATATAGTGATATACACCTACATATATAGCATACATAGATATTTATATATTTTCAAGCAAATTAGTTTTACTGTTTGTAAATGATCTCTTATCAATCAAAGAAATAACTTCAGGAAACAGTCTCTCGTTGCACCCTTTCAGTTAAGTTGCTGCTTTGTTCTCCTACCTCAGAGGAATATATTAACTGGTTGTTTTCTTCTTTGATCATTACAAATTCTTTTACACAGGTCCTGCAATGCAGAATAGTCTTTATAATTTACTTATTTAAGTTGCTTGATAGCAAAGTAAAGTATATGAAAACAAATTTACAAATGTATTTATATTGAAAGGAAATCAAAATATAAATTTAGTTAAATACTAGTAGCTATGTATGCAGTATTGAGAAGAAAGTAACAGGTACCTTAAGTCGTTTAATACATACAATTAAAATGAATAAAAAATTACGTTTACCTTAGCAAACATGGAACATGGGAATGAAATCATCATCAGTTCTATTTTCTTCTCGTTTGGTTGTCTTCGTCAGAAATGGATTAACTACAAACCATATTGTGATTTTGTTTTAAATGCCTTTATCATATACATGTATTATAAACAAAATACATGGAATAATATGAATAATATTTGGTTAAGCAGGCCAGTATAGTAAGTGGAGAGTTAGTACATGTACATTAGGGACTAGTCGATTTGTATTTTCTTTTATAAAATAGAATTTTAAAACATAACAAGTTCTATGTAAATCACCATTATACTGAAAATATAAGCTATCAGTACGTGTAATCCTACCTTATTTCTTCTATTCATGGTAACATCTTCGTGTACCTAATGTGGTTTTCATCTTGTCTATATTCGTAACAATGCATTGTATTTTGATTTGTTTGTCCATTCAGTGGTAGTTGAGAGTCCATGCCATACTGTGAGTTGTAAAAGAATAATACCTATTTAATAATCGTTGAATTTTAGACCAATTTCGATTTGAACTGTTTGCATAAATTGAATATGCAAAAATCTGCTTGAACACAATCAACCCACATCCTAACCTACATGTAAATACAACAATTATTGATGAAAAATATCGAGTACTTTGTTAATTACAATATTATTTCTCTGTAGAACATTTTTTAAATAAGTTTTTTATAGAATTGTTTGTCTAAAACAAGAAAACAACAAACATGACATACCATGACTTCGAGTTTTCCTGGGAGGAAAATGGCGACCGACGCTATTGTTTCTTCCCGCCAATAAATATAAACAAGATGACCAGTCACAAGTCAAAGTTGACCAGAGACTGATAATGTTGAGGAAACAGATAGTCAAATTATGTATTGACTAACTGAACTGAAGAAAATGACTTCAAATCTGGTCAACGTGACAAATTTATGTTTTCAGTGTTATGGGGGATTGATTCACTGAATACTGCAGAGAATGAACGTCTCTTTTCTTTTGTTCAAACATTTATTAAGCATTCTGGTAGATTTCCTTGTCAATTACTGTACCAATATTAATATATGAATTTGTTCAACATTTTGTTTATTTATACATATATGCAAAATGCATCAATTTGTTTACTTTTGCAAATACTGAATACTTTATATAGCATGTTTAACTGTGACAATATAAATGTGTAATTTATATGTATAGGGAGATGGGCGTTATAAGTTTTCAGAACTTGTGCTCAATCCCATTGTAATTATATTACAATAAAATATGTTCAAATCATATGTAAGATTACGTTGGTTACCACATTCAGTATATGTATAGTTTAAAGTTGCCAGCGTAGTGCAAGTCTGTAATGGCAGTAATGATTTTAAACATGAATATATAGAATACAAAGTATTCTTAATTCATTTGAATGCTAAATTATCCCAGAATCCGAGTTTTATTTTCGATTCTAAAATGGTACATGTACTCAAAAGAGAACTGAGCGAAAGAAGAGTGAGTGTAAAGCTTTTAGAAATAAATTGATATCTGCCACTTATACAGTGTAATTAAAAGAAAGAAAATCAATCTATCTAGATTAGATTTGGTTTTAACATGTATATTTCATTGATAAAAAGTCGTTGTTATTTATTTTACATGATCTATACTTTTATATACCCGAGGTGTTATTAAAGATGAGAAAAAGCGATTCTTGAATTTTGTGAAATACTAGTACTCAAAGGGTTAACATTATGTAAAAGTTGAGCGTTTCTGTTTGAAATAATGCTACGCTAAAACATGATACAAAAACATCTGCAAAGGTCTGTTGATATGTTGGATAAAGTATACGAATGAATTTTATGCAATGTTATATGATTATATGTATGTACATGCAACCTGACGTATTTTCCTTATAATTCATAAAATATAAAATTACCGAGTATGTAATTCTTTTGAAGCCCCCCCCCCCCTTCCTCTTGATTTATATTCGGAGACATTCTTGCAAGTATTGGCTTTTGAATCGTTATACAATTAAATCTGAAACATTTGGTTATAATTACCATCAACATGTATACAGAAATTCATATTCTACATGTTCTATAATAGTAGATTTTTCATTATGCAAGATACTGAAATTCACGTCTGAGAGAGAGAGAGAGAGAGAGAGAGAGAGAGAGAGAGAGAGAGAGAGAGAGAGAGAGAGAGAGAGAGAGAGAGATTCCCTTTTAATCCCGATTATCCTATCCATTTACATAGACAAAATAACAGTTCTATATCAGTTGTACCAATTCTTTATTAAATATTTTCTGATTTCATAGTCCGTCATAGTAAATTTCTGTATATTTTTCTGCTTAAGGAGGCTGGTGGGTCAACAATTTAATCCCAAATTAACCACCAGATTTAACTTATTTTTAGGATACAGTATCTTTAGCTGTCAACTATCATTTGGCAAAGAAAAAAATTTTATATTCTAGTTTTAAAATTTGATCATTTTTGTATATCTTTATATGGAGCTCTCCTTTTAAAGCAGATTGAAATAGTTCAAAAATGGCTGCCACCCCCTAGCCTCGTTAAGAAATAATCACGCGAATTGCACATGTATTGACCTGTCAATCAAAATCACCGGACGCTGTATGCATTGCAATAAAGTTGTTCGAAATGATCTTTATTACGTATGATCTTTCAGAAAATCTGATGCAACAAATTTGTGAAATGAAAAATGAAATAAAAACATGGCTAGAGCATCATACATGTATATCATAGGCGCTTGGTTTCAGGATTGAATTTTTCATCGCCGATTTTTAACGATGAAAAATGTAAAGGTGTCCCGGAATTACTCGGAAAATCTAGAGAGAACAAGTTTGGCGCGGTTTCTGACCTCTCTAGATTTTCTATGTAATTCCGGGACGCCTCTACATTTTTCATCGATAAAAATCGGCACTTCCGTTGCTTGCGATAAACAGGTCAAGAATCAAGGACGTTTTGGGTTAACTCCATGTTTTATACGACAAGTTCAAATCGGCAGACGTTTGAAAGGCTTTAATCAATCATTTTTGAAGCTAGATCTCACTCGACACTAGTAGGAAAAATGTAGAGATAGATGAAAATTAAGTGTGAACCGAGGTACCCCCTGATTTACAAGATGGAGAATGACGCTCCTTTTCTCTTTTTATATACAGTAAATATGAAATTTTTAAAACGTGCTAATTTTAGCGAATTTTTATTTTTATTTTGATGATGGTATTCAGACATACATCGAAAAACACATTATACACAAAATACACAATCCTGAAACCAAGCGCCTATGTTATGGACTTCAGTTGTGGGATGTGGAGACCTGTCCTTCAGACGAGATCGTTTAAATCGAGGTCCCGTATGCCTGATGGTACTGGCTCAAAAAGATTCCCCACTGCTCAGTGGCGATAAGCGCCAAGTTATAGGACAACATTTTGCAGTCTCCACCGGCGAGTGGAGGCTTCCCATGTGAAAAATTCTCGAGAGGCACGTTAAACAACATATAATCAATTAATCGATTGCTGAATAATTCCTGTAATTAATTAAATTAATCTTTCTGCTGGTAAATCTCGATAGTATTACTTTAAAAATCAACGACTTTAAGTTTTATGTGGTGCTAACTTATAGTTCATGACATTTTTATAACATCATCGCATTTGTGCCAAAACATAAACACATTGAAGTTTATGAGAGTACGATGTTCGTTCGTCTGTTGGTTTGTCTATGATACAAATGTAGCTCTTATGAGTGCCAAAATGCATCAGAACAAGATTGATCATGAAAATCTAAGTACCTTAAGTACTGAAAGACCTTTTTGCATTTTTTTCTTTTAGCGTAGATATGATTTCTATTTTTTTTGCAGAGAAAAAAAAAGCAAATTCTAACAGTCTTAGAAGAACGGAAGACTTATTTGTTGCCATGGCAACAAGATTCTATTTTTAAGGTCTTCCGTCTTCAGCGGAAGACCTTACTGTTATTCTTAGGTTTCTTTTCCACTATTTTTATTATTAAGGTCTTCCGTTTCCAACGGAAGACCTTTCTGTTATTCTTAGGTTTCTTTTCCACAGTTTTTTTCTTTTTTTTCTTACCGATTTTGTGCACGCGAGTTCTCGGAAACGGCTTGCACGATTTTTATGAAACTTTCAGGGCGGATGGAATATAAAAAAATCTAGACATATATTTTTTTATTTTGATGACGTCACTTCCGGTTCCGAGATTTTTGCATTTAAGTGAATTTTAGAGGGTTAGTTTGTCCGCGAGTTTTCTCGAAAACGGCTTAAGATAGAAACTTGAGATTTTCAGTGATAATAGAGCAATAATTGTAGTTATGCGGAACGTATTTCATATTCACTGAAATCGCTGTGTACGGAAGCTTGTTGTGGCCAAAAAATAGTCCTATCACGAATTTCAAAAATTTTGACATTTTTTTAACGACAACTATTTACCTAGAAATATTTTGTTAAAGCATGTAGAACAAAAGAAGTGTAGAATTTAGAGACCTTTGAAATGATATCTCGAAAAAAGGGCTGGCCCCTAAATTTAAGGGCCTTGCGGGGCCTAAAGCTTTTCCTTCATATCTCAAAAAGTATTGACAATTTGTAATACGTCTAAGAAGC